TTTTTCAAGTGAAATAGACAAAATGATATTTAGGTCTCTATTTAGGGTTGAATGTGTTTCAATGACTGCAATGGAAGGCTCCAAGAAATCCTGAAACCCAAGAGAATACAGATGTCAAAATCTGAAGCCTTAATGGTAAAGCCTGTTTGATGTTCTGATCCTTTAAAATGATTTTGTTAGTCAAAGAGCAGCAACTCAGAGCTGGAGGGGACTTTAGAGGTAAATCGTTTGCTGTCCCTCCACACACACACACACACACACACACTCACATGCACGTGCACACTCAAGCACACACAAGTACACACATTCTACTGATCAGGCCCAGGGGTGCACAATGAATTGCCGAGGGACACACAGACTGTGGCAGACCTAGGCTGGAATGTTTCCCCTGATTCGCACCCCAGTATTTCTCCTGCAATAATTTTCCGGCATTCTATAAAAACCCAGGACATCTTAGTGACTCTGTAAGATACTGAATGGCTGATCTCTGGTCCTGTAGTCTGCCTTACCATGACAGTGTCCAGATCTCAGAGTTCTCTTTGTGAAACAAGTTCTGACCAGAAGCTGGATTTCACAGGTCTTGACCACCCACCTTTTCTGTTTGACAGCTAATGATTTTTGACTCTTTCTGAAAGTAAATCCATTCTTAAAGATTGACTTTGTATTCCCATGGGTGTTGAAGATCATTTCTGAACATGAATTCCAAAAGAGATGTGTGCATTCAGGACATCTGCTGGCCTATGGTGCCCCCTCTGGGTGGACAGATTAGAAAAAGACACCTCCTCTGGGCTGACACGGTCATGTGGGCTCAGGTTTTGGCAAGAAGATGTCCCCACTATGTGAAGATTAAAGGTGGCCATTTCTCCTGACATAGCTCTGAGCTGGAGCATCCAGCTTGGCAAAGAGCTTTGATTAGTTCCCTGCCTCTTCCCACCCCTCAGCCAGGCATACCACATGGTGCACAGTCTGCCCAGCCTGATGTGGGGCACTGAGCACTGGTAGCATTGCTGAAGTGTACTTATGATCTCATCGCTTTCTGCAGTGATGATCCTGTCCATATGTAGCCCCAACCCCATGGCAGTATTAACTCAGATACATTATTTCATGTTTGAAAAAGGAAATTAATAAAATAATGAGACTTTATACTAAACCCCAAAGCATGGCCAGAAGGTATTGCAGACGGGGAGACACTGCAGTTCAACTGCTGGGGAGCCAGTGTGGTGAGTGCGCAGGCTGCAGAGCCGTGTGCTTGAATCTCGCCTCTGATATTATTAGTGAGTGTCTTTGGCGAGTTACTTAACCTCTATGTGTCTCAGTTTCCTCACCTGTAAAATTAGGATGATAATATCTTATCTCGTGGGAAAGCTGAATTCATGCTTGACAGATGGTTTTTTAAATGTACTGAATTCATTTTTTAAAGTCCTTTTGCAAAAACCCCTTACAACTTAATATCATCATCACGAACCCCCTACGTCCTCAGCTGCTGGTGTCTCCTCTCCTCTTCATCTTCTTGCTTTATGCAAAGTCCGGCTCCCCTGAAGACGCTCCTGCTGCTGCAGCCCAGGGGGGGCTGTTCTCTCTCTTTCCTTCTTTGTACCACTTGGTTCCTAGGTAGTGTCCCTCTTGTTACTCAGCGAGGCTTCCAGATCCTTCCCTGCCTAAAAGCATTGAGCTTTGAATTTCATGTGCTCAGATGGCACCACCCACCGCTTGCTGTGGTTACCACCCACCCTGACTACTCCTTCTGCATCTCCTGGCTGCCACTCCCTCCAGCATGGCTCTTGTCGTATTCCTGCGACTGCATTATCCACGATGATTTACTTGTAATGATGTCTGGTCCCTCTGATCCTCAGCCACCTCTGTTTCAGTGATCTTGTTCTCCCCTGTCTTAGCTGCTCATCCCCATTACCAAGAAAATCCAGTGACCACCCCACGATCTCACATTCAAACATTTCTCTCCAACTGCCACCGCCCAGCCTTCCAGCTCACTTCTGCTAACACCAGTTCTCACTGTCCTGCTGCCCCACCTTTCAATCCATTGATTCTACTGCCTCTTCATGATCTCTAACCCCCTCAGGTCTGCATTTCTCTAATTACCTGATGTAAGCCCAAGTAAGTCATTATATACATTGCCAACCCCCCAAGCCCCTTTCTTATTTCCTCCTACTGCTTTGGCTAAAGAACACGCTGGCTAAATCCACCTCTGTGCCACTCCATGCCAGCCTCCGTGCAGCTGAGCATGGCTGGAGAAAAGCACACAGCCTCAGTCCGGAGATAACTTCTGCCAGCTCTAAGCCCCTGCATCGATCTATGCCCATATCCTCTGTCCTCTCTCCCCGTACTGTGGGTGAGTGGTCCATGATCCGTGTTAAGGCAGCCCTTCCCACAAGGATCGCTCTCATCGTCAAGCCCTCTGGACTTGCTGTTTCATCTGCCTGGAATGTTCTTCCCCTAGATGTCTGCATGGCTCACTTCCTCCTTTCCAACACATTTTTACTCAAATGCCACCTTCTAAGTGAGACAGTCCAGGGTCTGCTCTCTACAGTGTCCCCCCACACACACACACACACGTGCGCGTGTACACACATGCATGCACACACATGCACGGCACTTCCTGCTCCTCTCTCTAGATTTCCCCTTATAGCATTCCCTAACATACTTTCTCGTGTACTAATGTTATACCTGGTGCAATGTTTGTTATTGTCCCCCTTAGAGTAAAGCTCCACAAGGGACAACTTCTGGTCTGTCTTGTTCACTGATGTTTCTCCAATGCTTAAGACAGTGAAGATGTGCCATAAGAGGTCATTGAGTGACATGATGAAGGAATAAAAAGTTATTGAGCAANTCTTGTTCTCCCCTGTCTTAGCTGCTCATCCCCATTACCAAGAAAATCCAGTGACCACCCCACGATCTCACATTCAAACATTTCTCTCCAACTGCCACCGCCCAGCCTTCCAGCTCACTTCTGCTAACACCAGTTCTCACTGTCCTGCTGCCCCACCTTTCAATCCATTGATTCTACTGCCTCTTCATGATCTCTAACCCCCTCAGGTCTGCATTTCTCTAATTACCTGATGTAAGCCCAAGTAAGTCATTATATACATTGCCAACCCCCCAAGCCCCTTTCTTATTTCCTCCTACTGCTTTGGCTAAAGAACACGCTGGCTAAATCCACCTCTGTGCCACTCCATGCCAGCCTCCGTGCAGCTGAGCATGGCTGGAGAAAAGCACACAGCCTCAGTCCGGAGATAACTTCTGCCAGCTCTAAGCCCCTGCATCGATCTATGCCCATATCCTCTGTCCTCTCTCCCCGTACTGTGGGTGAGTGGTCCATGATCCGTGTTAAGGCAGCCCTTCCCACAAGGATCGCTCTCATCGTCAAGCCCTCTGGACTTGCTGTTTCATCTGCCTGGAATGTTCTTCCCCTAGATGTCTGCATGGCTCACTTCCTCCTTTCCAACACATTTTTACTCAAATGCCACCTTCTAAGTGAGACAGTCCAGGGTCTGCGCTCCCCCCCCCCACACACGTGCGCATGTACACATGCACGCACACACGTGCACACACACACATGCATGACGCTTCCTGCTCCTCTCTCTCGATTTCCCCTTAGCATTCCCTAACATACTAGCGAGTTTATCACTTTCTCATGTACTAATGTTATACCTGGTGTAATGTTTGTTATTGTCCCCCTTAGAGTAAAGCTCCACAAGGGACAACTTCTGGTCTGTCTTGTTCACTGATGTTTCTCCAACGCTTAGGACAGTGTATAGCACAGAGAAGATGTGCCATAAGAGGTCATTGAGTGACATGATGAAGGAATAAAAAGTTATTGAGCAAATGAAATGACAGATGCCTGTACATTTCTTCCCGCCCTGACATTTTCCCTCTCTCTCTCTCCCTCTCCCAACCTAGATACTGGATAAACTGCTAGATGGCGACTTAACAAGTGATTCTTCTTACTTCCACAATGCTACAGGATGTACTACTTACTATAACTTTTTACAGTGCACGGTAATGGCAACATTTTAAAAACCATAATAATGACTGCTTAAAGCTTTTGGCAAAACCAACCTTCTCCAATTTGGGAAAGATTATAGCTGGCTTCATACTAGACAAATATGTCCAAACTGTATTGTATTATTTGGTCTACTAAATAATGCAATATATAGTAGGTATAAAAAAGTATAGGACTTTTTCCCTATGAATATTGTATACATTGTAATCTGACCATTGAAAATGTGTGATATTTTCAGATAACTCAAAACAATTTCTGATTAACACAATTTCCCCCC